CAGGAATTGAAACAGAACTTGGAAGTCTCACTGAGGGTACAGGCAGGCACCTCCAAATCAGGGAGAGACTCGCAGCCAAAGGACTCTGCAGACTGAGAAACACAGCAAGAAGCTTCCCTGCCTAGCCTGGCAAGCAGCAGTGACTGCCAGATTGAAGGTCAGGATGCACTGCTAGATATTCTAGTAGGGGAGTTTGCAAAGCCTACTGCCAGTTTAGATTGTAATCTACAGGAAGAGCTCCATTCTGTGGAGCTACTCCTGAAAACTATCCTGAAAACATTTCTATTCCACAAAATACACAGAAAAGCTTAAAAGGATCTTTCCTAGTCATAGGTATTTTCTTGTGAGGACACTAGGAAAGCATGCTGGTTCTCCTTTGACTGGACTTCTAGCTAAAACAGAGGGCAGATGAACAGAGCATGCTGGTAACTTGATCTGTTTTAAACAATATCTCAGCCAACAGCAAGCCAAGAAGTCAAAATTATTAGAACTATGTGTTAGGACTTTGTTTTTTCCTTTTTTAATAATTAACAAAGTTGAGCATCCTAGTGGCTAGCACAAAAGAGAAACTTTGATCAGCTTGGAAGATCTCAGGGATTCATAAAACATATCCTCAGCCATCAAAACCTTCTCCTGATGAAACCATCCTGCAGGACTACACTATTGCTTCAAAACACTAACAATTCAAACCCTAGCTGGCAGCTAACTTCTTTCAGTAGATAGATGTTTTTGTTTGCAATTTACCATATGTTTCAGTAGTTCAAGACGGTGGTTAAAAAAGAAAGTGTTATTTTCATGCATTTTCCTAACAGAAACCTCTGAAACACGCCAGGGAATAATTTAAATCTCATATTTAGCATTCTACATTTAACTCCTCCTCATACTATTCTCTTTTGTCAAAGTGGCATATTTATAGCAAGTATTTCACATCATCAAAGAAACCTATTGAACAAGCAGTATCTATCTCCCTTTTCAAAATGTATAATACACATAAATACAAGTGTGGTAACTACAACCCTTATGAATTCAGCTACTCTTCAGTACCTCCTAACTAAATGCAAGTTGATCCCTGATCTCTGTGCTATATTACACTTATTCATATGTTTATTGCTTTTGAATTCTCAAAGTTATTTGATTCTGAAGAAAATCCTTTGCTGAGGGGTGTACCTGACCACAGCAGGGGGGTTGGAACTAGAAGATCTTTGAGGTCCTTTCCAAACCAGGCCATTCTATGCCTCTATGATTCCCAGCAAAGTCACAGTTCATCAAGGTAGATAAGAACTCTCTAGTTCTGAACTATTGGAAACTCAGTACTCAGTCCTGTATAGATGAGCAGAAAGTTGATCTTTGAATCTTACAGTTTCTCTCACAGAGTTAGGGGAGTGGGCAATAGTTTGGTGTCTTGCACATGGAAGTCAAATACTGCTATAGCTGAAAATCTGCAGGGGTTTAGAGATGTCACTTTGTTGGTGTGTATCAAGCTGGTTTGGTAGAATTATGATTTTGTGGAAGGAAGAAAAACACACTAATTGTGTTTTGTTTCTATATTTCCTTAAAACCTTAAATACCTGGTAACTGTTTAAAGTTCACTGAAATTGCACCAAAGAGAGCAATTTTATAAGCAGGTTTTGGAAAGTAAGCAAATGCTCTAATACTCTCATGAGTCAGCAATATGCCCTGGCAGCCAAGAGGGCAAACCTGGGATGCATCAAACACAGCATCACCAGCCACTCAAAAGAGGTGATTATCCTACTGCATTCAGCATTGGTGCAGCCTCACCTGGAGTACTGTGT